GTTACCTTGAAGGTGCTGGGGTAGGTCCCCTCAAAGCGGACATGAGCCTGCGGGTGTGGCTTAGTGGCGGAGCTCAGCTCCAGCATGTGTGAGGCTCTGGGTTTGGTCACACAGTGCTTGGTGCGGTGACTCTACTCGGCAGTGTCTGCCCCACAGGGCTGAAACCACGCATCACCATGAACCTGCCCTGGGCTGTTCCTAGCGGTGCAATTTAACAATCGCCATGTGTCCCCAGGCTCAAGACTGGTGAAATGGATTGCGGTATATCCATACAATGGAATACTTTTCAACCATAAAAAGGAACGAAGTGCTGATGTCTGATACATCACAGGCAAACCCTGAAACCCTCATTTGTACACTCCCTGAAGGGAGCAGCTATCAGCTTACCCTTTACCAGACAGTAGGAACTCTCTGTGGGACAAAGGAGAGGTCCTGCCCCTCTGCCGTCCACCCAATGAGGGAGCTGCCAGCAGCTGAATCACTGCAGGCTCGGCCTCGCCCGCCCTCAGTGTGTGTACCTACAGCAGACTCTCTCAAGTCATGCCATTAACATAACAGGTGGCTGTGGATTTCTGCTGGGCCCCACCCACCTCTGGGACTTGCTGGGTCAGGGCATACAAAGTCCTCCTCGGACACCGACCTGATTGATCTTGAAGTCTCAAGGGTCTTTAGGTCAGGGAGAGACACACCAGGTAGGAATATCAACGTGCCTATGCCCACACTGGGTTTCTGTTTGCTTTTCTTTCTGAGACAGGTTCTCATTTGGTCTTGAATTTCAGTATGTAGCCCCGGCTGGCCTCAGATTTACAGAGGCCTGCCTGTCTCTGCCTCCTGAGGGCAGGGACTAAAATTGAAAACCAACCACATGCAGCCTACCTGTCTCTCTTGAAGCAGACCCTCTGCCCATGGGGTTAATGGTACTGATGTTGGCCACGGGTATGGGCAGCAGCTTTCCAGACACCCCAAGCCTTAAGTGAGGGGGATGTGGCCGGGTGGTGAGCACTGGCCAGCAGACCCTGGGGTTCGGCAGCAGCATAAACAAAGTGAATTATTCTGAGCCTCTTTGGAGACTCGAAGGTGACCCAGCCTGCCGTGGCTGCTGGAATTTGTGGACCAGGCCCAGTCTTCTTTGGTATAAAACAGGCGCTGGGCCCGGTAGAGGGGACACGGTCTGCCCACAGCTGGCCTGGCCTCCCACAGAGGGGTCATTGGGAATTCTGTGTTTCATCAAATATCACTGGGCTACAGAGTTTTATTTGAAAATAATTTTAATTAGCCGGAAACTAGGAGTTTAATAAATGGAAAACAGAGAACTTTCCAAGGCCGCAGCTGGGAAACACTCCCTTTAAAAAAAAAAAAAATTCCGCCTGGCTTCTCAGGCCAGCTAAGCACCCTGACTGGAGGGACCCCGTGTGCCAGACAAATCCACAAGGAAAACAAAGCTTATTTTTAGAGAAATATTTTAAACTCGGTTTCAGTGATCTCAGGAGTTTCCTTCCCCGTCCGTCCGGGCCCTTACATCTTCCCTCTATTTCGGGGTGACCTCCTGGGTGAGGAACGACTATCTGACAGGAGCTATTTCTGCCCAGATGAAAATAAGAAGGCCCCTCCCTCAGCCCCCAGAGAACGGATTGTTGCCAAAAACGTCCCTGCAGACAGCGAGGGGCCCGTGAGGCCTGTCCTTGGCAGGTGTGCCCAACAATGAAGGTGGCGCTGGGGTCCCTACAGGCTTGGAGACTGTGGTCATCCCCTCAGCCAGCCCTCTCCTGCCCCCACCCAGCAGGAAGTGGATGGCAGTCTGGCAGTTATTTCCGGGTTTTGAAAGCACGGTTTTTTTCTTTTCTTTTTTTTCTTTTTTAACTTGAAAGAGGCTTGTTAAGGAAGGCTGTTCTCCCCCCACCCCTCCTTCCCCCTCTCCCATGACCACCACCCCCATACACTGCTGACACATTCAGACTAAACGCAAGCTGTACATACCTCTTCATACACCAAAGGCCCGAGCACTCATCCCCAAAGCTGCAGCCGCATACAGACACACCCAAACCCACATTCACTCACACAGCAGAGGACACTGACACGCTCACCAGAGTCTCGTGCACACACACACACCTGCACACACTCAGCCCCACATCGGGACACCCATACACCATCACAGAAACATCCACAGACATCCCCCCCATGCACAGCACAAACTCAAACCATACTCACACACAGATCCACACACCCATCTACAGGCAATCCGAACGTTACAAGACATAGCCACACTCATCGACACCCACGGGCCGTGTACTCTACACCAGCTGTGTCCAGAAACACACGGCCACCAGCGCGTCCTTCATCCACTGCACACGTCATAGACACAGATCCGAGCACACCTCCGCACGGAGCAGCACATACCCATAAATACCTGTCCAGCCGTACAGACAACTAAGCTTTGTAGCCACAAATCCATCTCCCACATGGCACCCCCACAGCCTCCTTCAGAGAAGCCCTGCCAAGCACAGCCACAAGTACTCTGCACTTTCTAGCTTCTCTGGTCGGAAGTTAGAAGAAGGGCACCGCAGCTGCCCGCTCTGGCAGCCTTCCAGCCCGGCCTCGACTTCCTTTTTTGCTCTCCTTTCCTCTTTGGCTTGCTAACAGCTCAGATCAGTAACTGCTTGCTCTGAACGTCAAACTAGAGCTCACTACAGCCTCTGGGATAGTAAATACAATGAAACGAGACCACAGCTGGGCACACCTGAAGTTCTGACCCAGGTGGAAGCTGAGGCAGGAGGCATCTGCACTTACAAAGAGCTTGTCTCACAAACAAGCAAAGGAACAACCAGTGAGAGCTTAACTGGCCTCGGGTCGAAGGTCAGCCCGAAAGGGCTGCAGAGACCCAACTTCCGGTTTAAAACAAAAAAGAAGCAAAACTGTGTGCGAGTCACATCCGGCTTCATTTGTCACCACAAACTAAGCTGGAGGACAGTAGTCTTGAGCACAGGTGCCTTTCCTCACCTTCTCTAGCAGGCTCTCTGGAGACAGCCGCTCCAGGGGCTTTCTTCACACCCTCCCTGATGAGCAGACCTGGCAGTCAAGAGCCTGGCCCACCATCGTTCCTGCATTAAGGGCCTTCCAGGGCCCCTCACAGTCCACCCTGCCTTCCCACAGATCAGTGCAGGGCTGCTCAATTGTGTGTGCTCGGCCTCTTATACAGAGCAGGGATTCACACGGCAGGAGTGGAGGATCTGTGCCTGTACGCATCCTTCTGAAATAATTTATACGGTGGTGTACACTAGCTGGGGTGTTCAAAATCACCTCAGTCTCTGAGCAGTTAGCAGGAAGGCTTCCTTGAATCACTCGGGTCTGGGCCCACAACTGCCCATGAAAGCCTCCAGCCCCGTGCCTTTAGTTCTATGCTGCAGCTGTGGCAGCTAGGCCTGCTTTGCCCTTACTTTGCAAGTTTTACTTCTATATCCTGGATTTACAAAAATACTGTCCTAAGGGTAATCAAGTAAACACTGTTCTGTTTATCCTGGTTGCTGCAGAAGCACAGTGGCCAAGCCTCCATTGATGTGCTGAGAAAACTTCTGAGTGACCACCTACCTCTCCCAGCGTTCCCCGCTCCAACGCATCTAAAACACACAACTTCAGAGCCTAGCAGTTGGGCTTTCAAACAGGGCAGTTTTAAAAAATGAATGTGGCTTTCCCCAGAGAGAGGTCCAACATTCCAGCTGATCAAAAGAACTTGTTTAGAAAAATAAGTTTGGGAATAAAGTGGAAACAAGGTCTTTGAAATGCAGCCGGGCCTAAATAGCTCCACAGTGGAGCCCTTTCCTACCCATTGCACATTCTTTATGGCCAAGAGGCCAGAGAGCTGCAGGGGCTTCACTCAAGCCCCAGGCCTTTTTGGCTTTCTCCACCCCCAAGGACCAGCATCTGGGATAACTTTAAAATTCTTCCCTATTCTGTTTGCCAGCAACCTCCACCCCCCCCCCCCCCCCCCCACAAAAAAAAAAAAAAAAAAGCTCCAGTGAACACCAACTCCATCTTCCTTAACTGGAAACAGCTGCCCAGCCTGGCGCATCCCTCAGGCACGCCCACCAGCTCAGCTCAGCTCAGCTGTGAGACACAGGAGACCCTAGCCAAGGCAGGGGCAACCAGACCGGGTCAAGGATTGGATGATGAGCTCCAGCTGTTGTCGATAAGAAAGCAAAACTAGCGCAAGATCTGTTGCCTACTTTGGGAAAGGTGTCTGAACTGTGTATGGGGGTAGAGGAGAAAACACCAATTGTCTTAAGTTTAAAAGTGATTGTTTTAAAACAAGCAGAGTAAAAACAAACAGAAAAGCCCCAAAGACTTTAGTTAAGCTTTGGGAATCAGGCAAAAAAAAAATACACGACGCAGCCTGGTAGAAGCCTGGTTTAATTTGCTTTCTGGCCTCCTCAGTCTTCCTTTTGCATAAATAGCCAGAAAGCGTTCATTCCCAGAGGAAGCTGTCTGTGTAAACAAACTTCACCCAGATAGAAGTTTAACCCGCTTAATCTTCTTTCCTCCCTCACTGAAGGACATAACCCAGCTTTCCAAAGTCCAAGCAAAACCCTAGCCCAGGTCTGAACGCTTGGCTCCCCACGTCCAGCTCCCCATCAAGGCTACAGGCCCTGGTCTGGCATACCAGGGAAAAATAAGACCTTCAGCTGCCAGAGCAGCCACGTGACCCACTGGGTGACTCACAGGGCGGCCACACCCCTTGCGGTCTCCCGCCAGGCCCTGCCACCAGCCAGTCAGCCTACACTGGGATGCATCTTATTACCAAAAGGAACAGCTAACAAATGCCCTTGACAGCCAAATAATTACTTTCTTTCAGCTGGAAGGACTTGCTATAAAATAAATACAGGTACAAGTGGATGCAAGCTCTTCTCAGCTCTGCCAGCTCCCCGCTTCCTCGACACACCCCCTTTGCAGATTTGCTGAAGCCACGGGAACCCAGGAAACCTAGTTTAAAGACAACACTACTCAGAAACTTTTTCCAAAAAATTTTATTGGGGGAAAACTACAAAACATTTACAGTACAATGTTTACAGTCACAATTTGTAGTGAACTGATTCCCCAAAATATATTACAACTCAAGTTGACTTATCTTGTTACATTCAAAAACCTACTTCTGTCAAAAGTAGTCCAGGGTACACACACACGGTGCTCCAACTGTACCTACATACAAACTAAGCGACCGCTCATTCATCCGCCGTCCAGGAAAGCCGGGGAGACATTCCCGCCCCCTTACATTGAAAAAAAAAAAAAGTACAAGTTTTGGGCTGTCATTAAACAAGGCATATTCATGTCCTACAGGCCATTTCAGCACGAAGAGATGGCCTCTTCACTTTACAGCTATAAGAGTGGTAGAGATCTTTTCCTTTTGTGCAGGTGAGCCCATCCGACACTCAGATTCTCTCAAGCACTAATGAAATACTTTTTTGGTTGAGGAAGATTTAAGGCAAGTTCGGGCCCTATAAAGGCACTGAGACCATTTCCCCATTATTGCTACATGTCAGTGTCACAGTGGAGTTGGTGGAATCAGCATTTTTTTTTTTCCTTGCTGGTCTATAAAGCTGGAACTAGAAAAGCATGCCACGTGAGCCTGACTGCGAGTTACGTGGCCATTCTTTAAGTTGGATGGGCTGCAACCATTTTACATTCTAAGAAAAACTCAAAATGTTCCTCAAACTACTTCCACAGCATCAAGATAGATAGATTTCTGTAAAGAAATCATGCAATCTTTTGAAATTTACGTAAACAAGGAAAGAAATTAATGAAATAAATATTACATACAATCTCTTAAATTAAGATTTTTCTTACTCATTTACAATAAAATAACCAAGTGAAGTTACAAAAGGCATATATTACTGTGAAAAGAACATACACTCCACATCTTGCCGATTAATAATGGCAATTATAATTTAACATAATAAAAGAATATATATCTATTGCTTTTCATCATACTTGATAAATACAGTATGAACAACCTCAATGTATACTTTTCACAAGAGAATAAATAAGTTAAATAGTTTTTTCATATTGAGTTGTGGCGCAGTCCTGCGAAATCAACTCAAAACAGCTAAAAATGAAGCACTTTATTTCCCAACAATTATGAACTGAGCTCTGCCCAAGGCTTCCAGAGAGCAGAGGAGATGGTTCTAAGCTAAGCACCCACTAAGTGGTGGCAATGAGACCAGTATCAAACTTTGGAATGCAAGGGCTCCCCCACCCCAGACACACATTAACTTTGTTAAACAAAAAACAAGGAAAACAACCGCGACAAACAGGGATGAGCTACCGGATTAAGGCATGTTCTTGGCATTATTTTAAATTCTAGAAGCTTCTAAGTTTAGGAGGTGGCAGCCAGCTGGCTCACACTGGTCTGAGACAAACATCAGGAACCCTTCCAAGGTTAAGAGTTATCACATCTGGACTGTAACTAAGGCTTTCAAGTGAGAGAGATGGAATGGTGGCGGGTAGCTGCTGGTGCTGGGCTGACTCTTCTCTTCAACTAGAGTTTCAAACTCATCTGAGACCTAAACAAGTGTTTGGCATCTTTTGTTCTATCCGCATCACAACCGCCCTGTTGTATTTTGTTCATTCATACAAAAAGTCTGTTGGCTTTTATTTCAACAAGAATGAAACCTTGTAATAATAATAAAAATTTAAAAAAAAAAAAAAAAAAAAGGAAAAAAAAAAGAGAGAAAACCGAAAGGGAAGGGGCGGGGTCCCTCCCAGCACAGTTCGAGTCCAAGTGCTGGGCGGCCCGTAGGTCGGGCTGCGGCGGTCACCCCCGCCCGGTGGCCCCTGCAGCGCCTCTCCCAACCCCTCGCGGGCGCCCCCTTGCCTCAGTCGTCGGAGATGGAGAGGCGGCTGAAGATGGGCAGGCGCCGGCCGGGGTCCAGGCTGGGGGACTCGGAGCCGCTGAGGCTGCCCGAGCTCAGCGAGCCGCTCAGGTAGCTGTCGCGGTCCGACAGCGAGTCCGGGGGACTGGGGGGCGCGTCGAACACGGGCGATTCCGACAGACGGCGCGGCAGCGGGAAGCCGAAGGGCGGCGAGGGCGGCGCGGGGGCCGGGCCGGGGGGCGGCGCGGGCCCCGCCAGGCCCTGCTGCTGGCTGCGGTAGTAGGCGGCGGCCGCGGCGGCGAAGCTGTGGGTCTGGATGGCAAGCGGCGTGATGAGGCTGCTCAGCTCCGGGCCGAAGGCGAAGGCGTTGTTGGCGCACGAGGTGCCCGAGCAGGAGGCGCAGGGGGCTGCGGGGGGCAGCAGGTCGTCGGCGCCCCCGGGCCCGTAGAGCAGCGCGGCCGCGGCAGCGGCCGCCGCCGAGGCGCAGCACGTCGGGGCGCCCGAGGGCGTGGAGGCCGCCGAGGCGGAGGAGCACGAAGAGGCGGAGGAGGAGCAGGACGAGGCCGAGGAGCAGGGGGGCGGCGGCGGCGTGCGCGACGTGGGGCTGTCGAGCAGCAGCGGCGACTCCAGCCCCCCCGGCGACTGGTGGTGGCCCGACGGGAAGCCGGAGAAACTGAGGCTGTGGTGCAGCTTGGGCCGCGGCTCCCGGGTGAAGCCCAGGTGCAGCGCGTCGCGCGCGCCGAAGGCCCGCAGGTCCCCGGAGGCCCCCCCCGACGGCGCGGGCCGCCGCTCGTCCGCGTTGTGGATGAAGTGGCAGCGGGGGCCGTAGGGGCAGAAGCCGATGGTGTGGAAGGTGCGGCACAGCTCCGTCTTGTACTTGGGGTGCCGGGTGAGGCTGCGCAGCTCGTGGAAGCCGTGCGCGAACTGGCACTTCTCGCCGTACTTGCACGTGCCGCTCTCCTCGAAGGGCCGGCACAGCTCCGTCTTGTAGCGCGTCGAGTTGATCTGGGAGCCGCTGCCCCCCTTCTGCTGCTGCTGCTGCAGATGCAGGAGGTGCTGGCTGCGCTCGCCGTTTTCGCTGAACGAGCGGTCTCGGAACTTGCTCTCCTTGGTGCCCAGCGCCGTGCCGCCGCCCCCCGAGGGCTCCTTGAGCTGGCCGTAGGAGGACGGGCCGCCCGCGCCAGCGGAGCCGCAGCTGCCGCCGTTAGGGGCGCCCGGGAACTTGGGCGAGCAGCTGCCCGGACTGGGCGCGGGGTGGGCGAGCGCGTGGAGGTTGCTGGCCGAATGGCGTCGCAGGAAGCCCGGGGTGAAGCTCGAGCTAGGGGCAGCGGCCACGGGCGTCCCCACCGCCTTCTTGTCCAGCATGTTGTTCAGATTGAGGTTGGCCAGGGATTTCTCCGTCTGCCAGGGAGAGGGAGGGAGGGTAGCGGGGACGGGATGAAGATCGGAGGGGAAGGAGAGTTGGGGCGAACTGGAGTGACCGCCTGCTCCCAACTGCCCGCTTTCCTTTCGCCCGCGCGGTTTCAATTCAGCCTCCAGCGCTACACTAGCAAAACGCAGGCCGGCCAGAGCCGAGGCCTCCCACCCGGGCCGCGCCGGGGCCGGCCAGCCATGTGATCCCGGGCCCGCGGCCACGGGGTGGGCGGCGCGAGCCCCGTCCGGGAAGTCCCGGCAGCGTGGCCGCGGTCGGCCCGGGAGGAGCGCCCCGGCTGCGCCGCCGCTCGCTCCCTCCCAGCCCTCCACGCCCACAGCCGCGAGCACAGAGGGCTGCTAAGTCCAGGGCTTCCCTCCACCCGCAAAGTCAACTTGGAAAGGTCCCTCCCGCCCCGGCCCGTGGCCGGTCTCGGAACTCCAGGGTTCCAGGCCGTCCGCCATCCTTCCCCGGCGCCGACTTACTTTGCACAAGAAGTCAATATCGTAGAAGGCGGACAGAAGTGTGGTCGACATTTTTCCCGGGTCCTGTGATGGTCCGCGCTGCAAGCGAGGGAGCTTGGGAGGAGCTCTCGGCGCGGCGCGGACCGGCTGGAGCCGAGACGGATAACGGGCGAGGAGCGGGGAGGGACGGAAAGTTTGCTTGCGGGGCCGGCGAGGAGGGAGGAGGCCGCGGCGCGGAGTGGGGGGCAGAGGAGAAGCGAGAGCGCGGCTCGGCGCCCCGGCCCGCCCCCCGCGCGAGCCGATGGCAGCTCGCGGACTGGTGGAACTCCGAGGCCCGCGAGCGCGCGCCCTATATACAGCCCGGGAGCGGCGCGGCGGCGGGGCAGAGCGCACGGGGGGAGGGGACCGCGCGCCGGCCCGCCGGGGTCTCCAGGCAACACCGCCCGCCGGCCCGCGGACGTCAGGCGCCTCCTCGCTCTCTCATTGGTCGCCGCCAATTTTTCCCCCCTCGGGGAAGAGGGCGGGGCGGGCAGCCGGGGCATCCGGGCGCTGGGCTGCGCTGCCCCTTTGGGTGCTGCTGGGTGGCGGCGGTGGCGGGAAGGTCCCGCTCCCCTCCGCCTCCGGGGCTCTAACGTTGGAAAGCACGTTCACGTTCTGGGACCACCGGGACCGGGCCACCCCGGACGTGCCTCTCCCCTCCCGATCGTCCTGCGCCGAGCGGCGCAGCTCTTATCTCCCATCCTTGTTTTTGCTCAGAGCGCGGGAATTGCAAAATGCAACAATATTGCAATAGTGAGTGTGGCCAGGCTGGTTGGCAAAGGGTGCTTGGGCCTAGGGCGCCCCCGGGCTCGCGGCCCGTCCCGTAGGTGGGCCCCGGTGCACGTGGAGACTCTGCAGGGGTGGGGGCGGGAGCGGCCAGCCTGGAGGAACAGTGGCCCGTTTCTCCGCCCCTCTCCCCGCCCAGGCTCGGTAAACAGGACGAGTGCGCTGGGGCCTGCGGGGCAGGGCTGAAAGTCTGAGGACAAGGCGCTGGCTTTGCTAATCACATCACAAGACCTTGAGCCTGGGCCAAAGGCGCGGAGTGGCGCGGGAAGTCCAGGGCGGGAGAGCCGATTCGGGGGGACTAAAGGAAAGTCGGGGGGCAATGTGGTCATGGAGGAAGTCACTTCCCACACCTTTGTGTCCTCTGGGTGGCCTGGCCTCCCTACCCGTCTTGGGTGGGGGTGCAGCTGCTGACCAAGGCTTCCCACCTGCACAGCCGTGGCCTGTCGAGTCCTGCAACCATTTCTCTTCCGCTGTGGGAGGGACCGTATCAAATCTAAGCTCGGTGCTGGCTGCCGGAGGCGGTGGTTGCTGAATTTCCACCAAGGTGTGTGGGGGTCCCTAAGTCTATTGGCTATGGTGCGTTCCCAGAAGTCGCCTGGCCCTTTCTGAGAGGAGGCACACACCCCCACCTAGCGCCCAGTGAGGCTAAAGCCGTTTTACTCGGCTATTGTGGTCAGGTCCAAACCTTTCTCCCTACTCGGAGTCCATACTGGCTGCCAAAAGCTGGACTTGGGCCCATGATTTCACCCAGCTGGCCGCCTAAGCTGCCCCGGGTGGAAGGCCCCGCAGCTGCCAGGAAAGGACGCTTGACCTACACCCTCCCCACGTTGTTCTTCCTGTCGGCTAGCACTCAGTGCAGCTTGTGCTTGGGCTGTATCAGTTAACCTGGAAGGGAAGGAGGTAGGCCTGTCACTACACAGGCTCCGGAGTCCAGCGCGCATCTGCCCGCAGTTAGAGCTCAGGGCAGAGCTGGAGGACTTTAGGGTCACGAATGTAGTTCTGGGTGGGTAGCGGCTCACACCTGTACTGCAATTGGAAGGCTGTGGCAGGCAGACTGGTGAGTTTCAGCCAGCCTAGTGAGCTTAGTGTGAGAGGCTACCTCAATCAAGGAAAAAAAAAAGGATTGGAGCTGAGGCTCTACCCTGGGTAAGTCATGTAGTCGGAGGCAAATCAGTCTGTTTGGTATTTGTGTGTGTGTGTTTACTTGTAACACAGATAAAATTCCTTTCATCACTCCATCACTTCTGTCAAGGTACAAACAAGATATCCAACGTGTTTAAAAGATAAATAAAACCCTCACCTGATCTTCTATGTTAAAGCAATCTGGCTTTTGGCTGTGGCCAGAGCAGAGGGACTGAGGGTCACCCAAACCCTAGGATCCTCAAGTGTAGTGACTTCAGGAAAGATGGCTGCTTTGGCCCCAAGAGACTGCTGGGCAGCTGTGGAGAGGGCCCGAAACATGAGCATGAGTCTCTGTGACTAAGTTTTTCCAGGTTCTTCTCAGGGTGCCTCAGGAAAGCATGCAGCAGACATTCCCTTAGCTGCTGCTAGGATTTCAGACACAAATCTGTGGAAACATCCATCACTCCTGCCCTCCCAGGCTGGCCACAGCCAGCCAAGATCCAAATCTGGAGTGATTCCCAGCCAACACCCACTGGGTAGACTTGGTAGGATGGTCTCGGAGATAACATAAGGCATGTTCTGGTGCATGCTTTGGTACAGCGTGCCTGCTAGTGTGAGATGGTTTTATTGTTATGTAACTGCTTTTACTTCATTTTCCATGAGCTGGCTTTTGTTGGGCCCCGGTCAGAGTACATCTCTTGAGATTATCACCACATTACACACCAGCTCCTCTGACCAGCTAGATCTTAAAACAGTAGTGTAATGCTGGCATTGTGGTATGTGCCTGTAATCTTGGCACTCGAGAGACAGAGGCAGGAGGATTGATGCAAGTTTGAGGCCAGCCTGGTAAATAGCAAGCCAGATTCAGAAAAATAAAAGCAAAACCCAAAACAAAGTAGAAACTGTTAGGTTTTCAATTTTTCCTCAAGGGTGGGCTGCGCTGACACCTAACCAGGTAATGAGCACAGGGTCATATACACCACACCTGGTCTGCGTGTCTGCAAAGCCACCTGCGGTTCTCTGCTCCTCATGGTCACTGTGGATGTTGCTCCTGTCTCCCTCTTCTGCACGCCATTGCCCACACTCCCAGCACAGCTGTGTTTTTATGGTGCTGATGGTTTTCTTCTCAGAGACCAATGACATGTGAAACCTCAGTTCTTCTGCAGAAGGAAGTGGCGTAGCAAACGCTTCTCTAATCTGCACATTCAATCCCTTCCAATTCTAAGTGACCGCTCAGCTGTATTTGTGGGCCTTCCAAGCATCTAACTATAGCTGGCATGGTCTTTGTAGATAACCAGGAATGTGGACCCGGCTACAACATATCCAAGCCATGAACTTGAAGGAAACTGTCTGTGGGTGACACTTACTCTGAGAGCGTACAGTAACAGTGGTAAGCTGGGACTGCGATGGTATGGTTCAGTGGATTAAGGTGCTGACTTTGTGAGCCTGCACCCGAGCCGGATCTCTGCACAGCATGTAAAGGTGAAAGGAGCGAACTGACTCTATAAAATTGTCCTCTGACCTCCACAGACGTGCATGCCCGGGCACAGGTGCAGAGAATAATTTAAAATAAGTTTTAAGGTGGTAAGTGAGGAACTAGATTAGCAGCATAATGTGTGCAAGAGAGCCACCTGCTGGGTGTCCAAGGAAGCCAGCTGGGCTGGGCTTGAAGCGACAAGAACCCTTAAGGTCTCTAGATGGAATTACTCAAGTGGATAAATGTGTTTATTGGAATCTGAATAAGAATCGTTTTGTTGTTTCCACCAATCACGGAACAGTAAACAGTGTAGGCATCAAATGAACCAAGCATTTGTTCAGGCTTCTCTTTTCCCCAGGCTCCATCAAACAGCTGAAGCAGGTTTCCTAACCTTGGCAGGCATTTCTGGGGGACACAGGAGGGACTCATAATATGGGCCACTGAAGGACTTGTAAACATGGATAAAAAAAACCACAAGTATTTGCATGGGGAAGATTCTTAATTCTCCCAGAATATAACACTTGGAACATATTTCTCCTTTGCTAAAATGGAATAAAGTTTAGAAATACAAGTAGGGGTTTGCAAACTAATCCAGTTCCTATATCCAGACCAAAACAAACAAAGAGCACTGTGTGTGTGTGCGCGTGCGCATGTTCGAGTGTGCTTGGGGTGAAAGGACTTGTGTGCGCTAAAACTCAATATTTAGTAGCCAGAGTGCATGGGAAGTAGGCTCTGGCTGGACTGAAAGTCCTTGGGGATGGAAAAGGCTAATTCAGGCCTGCAGGTGGCCTGCACCTGGAGACAGAGTAAATATTCAACACAGTAGCCTTATTTCCTCCAGTAGCTGCAGTGAGCTGGGCTCCCTTGAATGATTGTGCTGAGACAAAGCTCTCTGTAGGAAAGGGCAGGAGCCTAGTCTCCCAGAAGTGGGGGAGGCACAGAACGAAAGAGGAAAGAGTTTCAATTTATGTCCAAGTGTTCTTGCAAGCCTAGTTGGCTAGATAATCCACTTCCTGCCCAGCCTTCTTACTTCAACATGCTGCTTCTGTTCTTGGGGCCAGTAATTGTCTCCATTCCCTAGGACAGTCTTCGGCTCTGAGAGCTTCCTTTCCTTCCAGGAAGGCCAGCAGCCTCAGGACAGCCAAAGTCCTTTCCTCCTGAATGCGTAGCCTTGTGTATTCCACTGTCTTCAAAAACTCAGCCGACGGTGGAAGCTCTCTGAAGAGCTGAGAGATGAGGTGACGCTGCTCTGATGCTATCCTTTGCAGGTGACAGAGCTTCTGTGAGTGAGGGGACTGCCAGCCAGACTGACAGAGGCGATGGAAGAGTTGCCTACATAGGTATTTCACAAAGGTCAGGGTCTCAGCCCAGAAGTTGACTTCTGATTTTTCAAATATGTAGTCGTCTTCTTCCTACATTGAATGAAAAACACCCAAAGTAAACCGCACAGAGAATGCTGCCAAGCCCCAGGCGCACCCCATAGGGCCCTGTTAGATAGATGTGAGAGTTGTGTCTCCTGCAGAGCTGATAGAGGGCCCACTTGGGCCTGTCAGCACCCCGCCACACCACTCGCACCTCTGAAGGTCACCTTCTACGTTCACTCTTTGTATTTCTCTACCAGGGAGGAGTGCTTTCTCCCAGATGTGACATGACCTTTGATAAAGACATGAAGCAGCTCAGAGCCAAGATATTTTGGGGAACTAATGGTGAGGAAGTGTGTCTTAGATTTTAAGGTGTACTGAGAAACCAGAGGAAGAAAGCACAAGGGAAATCTTGGCGGCAAAGCAAAGAGTTAATGAGCATATGTGTGACACCAGTCTTTAGAGACCACATTTCTAGAATGCCATGGTTCAGGGTCATTTCATCAAAACCATTTTACTACATCTCCACATTTTCTATGAGCAGACTGCATTTTAACGAGTCAGTATAAGCTGACTCTTGGTCTGCTCAGGATGCCAAGATAGCTAGCAGTCGTATGGGCGTGTACAGATTTCTGTTTTCCCAGTGCCCATGTTGCCTGTGGGGGTCTTCAGGTCTTTCCAAGTATACGTGATGCCGTGTCACTCAGGAAGAGGGCTCAGGTACCATGTTCCCTAGAAGGCTCCTAATTCTTGGGGCGACCCTTGCCCATGAGTTGACTATAATCTTTTTTTCTCTCCAATCCCTTCATAGTTTCATTCTCAAAAATCAAGGTGCATTTTTCAAAGTGTTCCTCTTCACTTGCTCCTTGCCACTAAGCTCTCCAAAGTCCTGTGTGCTTCACCCAGGAGACTTTCTCCTAATCAGTCTCTACATCCAGAGGGCTAGCACACTGCCTGCCTCCCAGCTCCCTAAGTGACTGGAATTACCTGGTGTTCGCTCTGCTCACGGCCCTCGAGGCCATCACCCTCTCCCAGCAGCCATCCCAGTAGAATGGGCAGTCCTGGTACCAGCTGTTCCCACTGCTGGAGCAAGTCACACAGAACAGCCAAGGCCAGGGCCAGAGCAACAGAGGCATCCACCTGGCAGAAGGCAAACTCTGTAGAGAGAGGACAGAGGCAATCAATGAATTGTAGCTCAGGGCTAGCCCCAAGAAGCCCAAAGAACTCTGGGAATATGAAGAGTCTTAGATAAAATCTCTGTCATCACATTAGGGGTGCTGGAACAGCTTACTGAAGGCTGTCCCACCCAGGGTCCTTCTCTTGACCCTGCTAGAGTCCTAAGGCTGAATGCCACCGCCCTATCCTAGTCTAGAGCAGCACCTGTAGGCCTAGACATTTCCGTTAGCTCCTTTAGCACAAGTAGGAGAGGGAACTGCGTCATCTTAGAGCAGAGTGGCACCTCACATTACTCTACCTGTTTTACATGATCCACACATTATAGAAACAATAAACTAGTAGCTGAGTGCCAATAAAATGTTATCTGTGCATGTTGTCATTCAAATTTCATGTGTAAAAAATACTCTTTTCCTCTTTCGACCCCACCCTCCACCTCCAAATACTAGGTCTCATGTCACCCAGGCTGGATATGTTGTCAAGGATGACATTGATTCTGATTCTCTTCACCTCTTGGATACTGGGATTACAGACATGTACCGTCATACTTGGTTTGTAGCCAAGGATCACCTTGACCTTCTGATCTTTTCTGCCTTCAGCTCCCAAGTATTGAGACTCCAAGTATTGGGACTCCAAGTATTGGGACTATAAGTGTGTGCCACCATGTCTGTCTGGTTTTATGCAATACTGGGGGCAAACACTCGAGGCAAGCATTCTGCCAACTGATAATCTAATCCCCAGCTCTCAAACCATTTACAAATGTAAAGCCTCATGCATCTTACAGCCATCCAAAAGCGGGTGGTGCACTGGGTGTTGGTCCTAATTTTGGTAGGGCAGGCGAGTAATCTACCACTGAGTTTAGGATTCTGCTGACAACTGTGCCTTTGTATTGATGGTGAAATTCTTTAGCCCCTTCACTTCCTGGCTCTCTGAGGGTGAGGTGCCGAAAGAGCGAGTGAGAAAGAGGAAGTAGGTATTTTGGGGGAACCATGCTTACTTCGACTGTCTAGCCTTAGGCCTAAATATGGACTTGCAACCAGCGCTGGGGTGTTGACACTTTTACCACTGGTTCAAGCCTTCTCACCCCAACAGCAGGCGGCCTGAATCTCAAGACTTAAGTTTCTCAACTCATAGGGTAGGTCTTTGTGGAACCTTCCTGCACTAGCACCTCCACTTAATGATGCACTTCTACTGAGCCTTCCTGTCTCCCAAATCCACAGTTCCAGCTTGGCCCAGAGACGGTCCCTAGCCGCCTGATAACCAGCTGAACCCGCTCAGCACATGGGAAATGAGGTGGAATCTGGGATGGAAGGCCAAGTCTCCCAGGTGTTGAGCTACGCTTCTGGAAGGTCTGCAGCACAGCTAGCCCTAGTGAGTGCGTGGGCTCCTGTCCTTTTAGGAGCTATGTTTTGTTTTGTTTTTTTAATGGTGAGAAAAGCAGGTCAATGACAGTCCAACATGGTCAACACTGCTTGGAAGAGACAGAGTGGGGCCTTGACTCCTTTAGGCAGCCACAGGGCTGATCCCTCCACTCTCAGGGCCCTTGCTATCTGTCCTGCATGCTTCAGCCAGACACTGCAGCAGGCACAAGGCTGCACCTTGGTGGTAGTGTAGTACTCAATACAGCTTGGAGCAGACTGTCCCTTTCCTTCAGAGTGGCATTGTGAGACAGACACCTTCTCTGAAGTCTGTTGAGGTGAACAAGGCATGCTGGTCTTTTCACATTTAAAAAGACACATGGGCTAGAGAGATGTCTCAGTGGTTAAGAACACTGGCTGCTCTTCTGGAGGGCCTAGGTTCAATTTCTAGTACCCACGTGGCACTTCACAATTGTCTACAACTCCAATTCCAGAGGATCTGACATCAATATACATAAAATAAATTAAATAAAAAGGTACACATGTAAACCTGTATTATGGAATCAGCATCAGACCATCTGATCTTAATACCTTCCAGAAAAATTTATCCTCTGCCTGACCTTTCCCTTCTTTTTTTATTTAACTTAAGGCAAGGACTGAAAACTTTGCAGGAAAGATAAATATTTCTTCCACCAGGCCAGGTGTGGAGGCACACACTTAAATCCCAGCACTTTGGAGGCAATGGAAGGTAGTGATCCAGAGTTCAAGGCCAGCCTGGTCTACATAGTGAGTCCAGGCTAGCCAGGGCTATATACCCTGTCTTAAACAAAATTCTCTTACCAGTAAAACCAGTGCCTGGAGCATCTATTGAATCTAATAAAGAGCACATGGGCATGACCAGGCACGCCACCAGGAAGGCCAGGCTGCTACACTGACAGCAAAAATGGTCCCACTGCGCTATGAGCTATCCTTGGGAAGGGGTAGACTGCCAAGATGATGGGACAAAAGAAGTATGTGTGGTGTTGCTGGACATAATCCTGGAGACGATCACATCCTTGTGCACCAGGGAGGAAGCCGAGAAGGTGGAGTGCTGGGATCAGATGGATCCCAGGAGTGGGTCCCCTGCTGAGGGATAGGTCCAGCATATACATTCCCTAGCTGACTACTTGGACCTAGAGTAAACTTACTGGACAGGTGAGCATGATCTCTACTGGCCAAGCTGCCTCTCAAAGGGAGGCTGGAGAAGAGCGAAAGGGATTTTCCACTCAGCCCTCAGGCTGGCAAGTCCATCAAGGAAATGAGAAAGCCAGCAGCCATGCAACAAGTGTGGTAAGGAGTCTACTGTGAACCCCGCATACCCAAAGGATCTTGAAAAAACAGAAACAAAAACTAAGGATACAATCTGAGAACTCTCTTTTTTCGATTTTAAAATTTATCACAAAGCTATCAGAATCAAGGCAATGCAGAGCGTGCGTGAGTGGCGTGTTACTGCTGGGGACTGAACTGGGCTGCATGTGTGCTAAGCACTCATCACCAGCGAATACTCCTCTAGCTTGGCAGTGTGGTTTTGACAAGACGACAGCTGTATGAATTAGTGGAACTAAGTGCAAAATGCAATGAGTCTGGGGCTGTAGATCAGTTGATGTAGTGCTGCCTATTATATCAAGTCCTGAGTTCAATCCCCAGCCCCTCATAAGCCAGGTGTGCTGGTACATGTCTGAAATTCCAGCCCTTTGGAGATGGGAGCAGCAAGATTAGGAATTCAGATCCAGACTTGGCTAGCTACATGGTGAGTAGGCCAGCTGCCACAAAACAAAACACCCCAAAACATGAGGCCTTGAGAGATGGCTCAGCAGTGAACACTTAATGCTCTCTCAGAGAACCTGAGATCAATCCCCAGCACCCATGTGTGTGCACAGGCATGTACATGCATGTAACTTGCAGAGGCCAGAGAGGACGCTGGATCCCCTAGGGTGACAGGTGTTTGGGACCTGGCCAAGGGCATACCCTCGCACCTGCTGTGCGAGGAAAAACCCAGTCTCTTTCTCAGAGTGTGACTAACTTAGTTTGAGGGAAAATGACAAACTAGTCTGGTGTCTGGGAGAGGAGTGGCCGTGCCTCATGGAAGTGAACTGTGTACCCTACTTCTTGCTCTCTTACTACCATTCACAGGGGTGTTCTCTCGCCTTGCCCCTAGGGACATTCGAATATGTGAGCCTTTGATGAGAAAACAGCAGCCTCATGTCAGCTTGACCTTGACAGATGTGGACACCAAGCAAGACCTTCAACCACAGTCCTCTTCTTACCTGCCTGCTTCCTTTCTCTTCCCTTCCCCACTTTGGTTCCAGTTTGCTTCATCTGGTTTACCTTTTTCATCCCCTTAAGTCAGTCTGACCTGCCTCAGGACCCCTTATAGTGACTTCTCCTGAATGGTAAAGGGGATGATCCATGGCTAAACCCCGTGGCTCTCATATTCCTTGAACTGTCCACTAAAGTAGTCCTGGGGAGTAGCTGGAGATGTAGCTCCGTGCTTTTCTCGCACTGAAGGAGGCTCCGGGGTTCAGTCCTTAGGACTTTATATATCTATCTCTCTCTATAGATATAGGGAGGTAACGCATATGGAGAGAGGGCATGTCTGTGTGTACTGGGGCTCCCACAGATACCAGCCATTACCTCTGGATTACAGTCTTATATTAGACAATCTAAAGCAATGAGGTCAATGAAGAATGAGGTCAATGATAGTGTTGTTACTGTCTTATGTTCAGGGTTGTTGCCATTTGGAGGAGTACATAGGTCAAGATTGCACAGGCAGTGAGTAACAAGTGGCCTGGCTCTACAGCCCTGGATCATTTTGCTAAGCTGCCTCCTGCCAGTGCTTTGCCCTCTGCCCTGCTTGATGTCTCAGGATCTTCATCTATGGCCCCATTAGCCAGGTCTCCTAGCCGCTGGGCTTCCAGTTAGATTCATTCAATAGGAAAAGAGGAGGAAGGAAAAGTTGGGAGTACTTCTTTCCTGTGTCCTTCTCCGTGACTCAAGGTTCTGGTAGTGGCTAGACACTTGCACTGTCCTCCCCACACCAGCTCTTCCTGTACTCAAGCCTTTCCTCTGCCTGATGGGCAGCCATATTTCTACTGTTGCTTGTTTCTGGGTGCCTCAAGTTCATGGTTGCTTCCCTTCACCTAGTGGCTCCCTCCAAGGAAGGATGCTACATCTCAAGGGATAGTTGCCTGTCAGGACACAGTCTGGTTGTCACAATTAGGAGATTATTGGCATGTGATGTGTAGTGAGAGTTAACGTTCTGTAAGGCATGTGCCAGCCACCATCAGTGTCACAGGACCCAGAGTAAGACCTTAACCCTACCACAATCTCATACGACTCATCACTAAAGTCTATCATAACACAGCAAATGGGCAGAGAAACTATCTTTAGGGTCCCTACTAATGACAGGTTGGGTCTCCATCTGGGGCAGATATGGAGAGGTTTACCTCTTTACCTTCCCCTTTCTGGAAGGCACTCCTGAGGATATGTTCTTTGCATCCTCTGGCAATAGGTTGCAAGCAGCCATTTCCCCGGAACTATAGAGCCCTTTCTGCCCAGAGGTGTAAGTGTGTTTTCAGGTCTGAAGG